AATTTTACCAATTTTCTATCGCTTGGTTTTGTGGAAATTGTTTGTATTTCTTTTTTCTCTCGGTGACAGGTTTCCACGTTACGCCAGTCCCAGTTTTCAAAGCTTTTACTTTACTTTCATTTTTGCAAAAGACGTAATGCATTCCTTCCCTGTCCTGTGTACAGTTTACGCCTGACATTTTTCCTGTTCTTTATCAAATACGATTTCACATGCTTTTTATAATAATTGAGGGTGAATATTACCTATGTACCTTTATGGTTTAAATTATATAACGTAGATTATAAAGTCTTAAAAGAAAACACAGATCCACTCTCCGTGTCTGAAAACTTCTGTGCTGTAAAAATCACAGACAGCCCTGTTCCTTCCATTGTGCCCCAATATTCATATAGAAAATTATACCGCATTGCCATGTGTTTAAGACTGTGGTTTTGAAAGCCTCAGGCATATGTCTGGGCAATGTTGAAATGGTAACCAGGTGATAAGGACTTCAGATAGGATGTTTTGGAACCCACCGGTAGCACTTGCTAAATGTCAGGCACACAGGCCCTTTTCACGTCTGAAATACTAAACAGCTGTGGCCCACTCGCCTGCTTCTCTTTCCCCAGGTTCGGGTTCCTGATCTCACTTTTGATAGTTTGTTTGTTTGTTTTTTAACTTTTGATAGTTTTAATGACCATCTCAAGCAGGTAATAAGAGTATTTTCCTTGACAAATATTGCTGGGTAGCTATTATACTCTTTCTCTACTGTTCTACATTTAAAAATAAGCCAGTAACAGCCATTATGGTGCACTGTTAATAGAAAGCTCTGAAATAAGACGAATTATAGGTATAAGCTCTGACTGCAAAGCCATATTAGAACTAGCTCACCAAATCTTTTCATTTTATCTTCAATCCACCACCCACCTATAATTCATAGCACAGTGTGTTCACTGGTATAATAACTCATCTCTAATCAGTAATAGGAATGATAAGTCCTAAACCAAATTTTTGATTGAAGGTTTGGTGTAATCCCAGTGCTCAGTTAGTGCTCCCTGGTGAGTAGACACTTACAAATGCCATTTGTAGTGTCTCTGATGACACAGTGGACTCCGTGTCGGGCTGCTAACTGCACTGTCAGTAGTTCATAACCACCAGCTCCTCCGAGCGAGAACGAGTCGGCTTTCTGCACCTATAAAGATGGACAGACTCAGACATCCAAA